TGTTCCGCATGTAAATTGAAGGTGTGCGCGGCGCGAAGCGCCGCGAACTATTCTAATCTGACTCCAGAACGGTAAGTTGGACCTCAAGTAAGTTGAAGTAGACGACCTCCTAGCCACCATTTCACTTTTTCGGGAAATTAAAGAAATCTGCAATTTGATCATCGGGTTTTTCCGCAATATGTTAAACGATAATACAGATTAGCAAAATCTACAGATATAAATCAATTTACACTTCTAAATACAGTAAAATAACAATGCATTTGACATTTATTAAAGTATATTCCACTGCGTGTCCTAATTCCCCACCCATAAAACCCTCTAACCACCGTTTTCGTAGGAAAACACGCAGAGAGTAGGGATTAATGAGTGGGCCTACATAAGCTACTGTTGCCATCATGTCTAACGGACAAGCTATTGTGGGTGCCATTGCGATCAAGGATCCAAAGTTCTCGCTGCCTCATGGCTGCCCTCTTTATTATGCGTTGGGGAAAAAAAAGGAGGGCGGACTGCCTGCCTGCCTTTTCACTGAATCCACAGATTTTTCTCACAAGGAATTCTCGCGTATGCGCACAACAACTGACTCATCGGCTGACTTGCCGTTTTGCTTTGCATTCGCCTAGCTTCACCGACGCTGCGGTTTTTGGTCTTCTAATATGCCCTTGTGACCGCACAGAATATCCTTTCAGTGTCTACCTTGTTGAGAAAATTGGCGATAAAAAGGCGGCTGAGGTTGTTCATTTTCTGCTACCGTGAAAGGGAGAGTGGGACTTGTTCCCTTGGTTTATCTTTCTGTACTTTTAGCTTGCCAATTGAAGGGCTCACGCCACTAACCTATGCCTCTCATTATCTAGCAATTTTCTTCTGATTGACTGCTTAACAGGATGGTCATTAAGAGAGCCATAACGACTAGGAAACGAAGCGTGTGTTATTAAACAACAGTTCTTTTTTATGTACAGTGCGAAAAAAGACCATGGGAATTGTTGTTTAGTTAACAGGGGGCCTTCATCTACATGTACGCTAAAGTAGAACCAAATGAGTTTGAAAATGCTTTCTAGGACTATTTTGTTGAATCACTTCTCCCAGAAATTCGTGTCTTTGTTGTTCATTTTATTTGGTTTTTCAAAGCCCTATGATGACCGTTATGGCCGCTAACCTTTATTCTATTCCTTGGGGTGGCCTTACTTAGATACTTATTACTTCAATGCTACAATGAACTCGTTAAAGTCTAACGTACCCATATGCACTTTAAAGTCTTCTCCGATTTAGCCACCTTCACATGTGCGCATAAAGGCGGTTTTGGCCGCAACTAAACCGACTTTGCCGCTAACAGTCCTTAGGCAGACCAATACTTTAATAAGCCCTCTTTCCTTTTAATTCGAGTTTTTTTATTATTACCGCCTTTTTTCATTTTTTCACCGTCATTCTTTTTTCCTTCTCATCACATCTGATGTAGGAGTTGTCCTGTCTTTTACTTTGCTGCTTCCTACTCTCTTTTAAATCCCCGCCTGTTCGCGCGGGTTTTGTTCTCTTTTAGCCCTTCTGGCCGACAGGCAGTGGCTGTGCCCTGGGCTTCCTCTCCGCTCTGGACGCTGCCTGGGCAACCTCTCTCTTCGCCGCTGGTCACCACCCACTCAAGGTTGTCGCCTGGCGGGACTCCGTCTACCAGCGACTCAGCCAGACCAGTCCCTCTAACATGCCCCAGAACTTTGCCAGCCATACCCTTTCTCCCAACACAAGGTCAGCAGTGCGTTTTTTGTGTAA